AATCAAACCTAACACGAAGGGGACTGGAGATGCTTCTACAAGTCAGGAACATTGATTTGGCGCTGAATTGCTCGTTTCCGATTCACCACAGGAAGAAATCTCATCATTCCGGCGAGCATTACTCCATCGCTGGAACGATCGATGAAGAAACAAAAGCAAAAATCAAACTTCCGAATCTACCTTCTGATTTGGCGTTGTTGTTTTTCTTCTCTTACATACGCAACGCTGGCTTCTACTTTGGGTTTCCGACTTCCTAATTCAACGGGTTTGAACTATGAAAGAAGGTAGGTCTGGAACCTGGGCTAGTAAAAAAATTGAAAATTAATTTTGAGGGTGGGCCTGGGCTTACCCTAGCCCTCATGTGCCTCTGCCCATGTCGTACAGTCGTTCACGGTGGTGGACTGCCCCAACTGTGTCAACATCTTCTTCATTCCACCTATGTAATCCAGATTGTTTAGCTGCAACAGAATGAATCCACCCTAAATTTCCTGCATAAAAGTTTCAGAAAGATAAAATTTTTTAATTGATGATCACAGACCTGTCATAAAATTGGGGAAAGAAGAGCTGCGATTGGTTCTGGAGATGGCAATGGTGTTTCTTTTGGTAAAACATAGAGTTATGGTGGGCAATAATCTGGATCTAAAAGACCTCGATTGGGTAAATAGTTTTTCCCGATTCTGAAATCGGTGGTGTTTAAAGGAAGAAGATGATAAATCCGATGAAGATTTCTTGATGGTTACTGATGGTGTACGAGAGGGAGATGAGAGGGAAAAGGTTGGGGGCGACGATGAATAGAAGAGAAGAGAGAAGAGGTGGACGTGAAGATATATATTAAGTTTTAAAACTGATATTCCTAAATTAAAGGGATATTAATTGATTTATATATTTACCATAATTAATTAAATATAAGATTACATATTTACCCTTTTGAAATGATTGACCCATATTTATGCATACAATAACACAATACTTAGTTAAAACATTTGAACCTAGCTCTCTCTCTCTCTCTCTCTATATATATATATATATATATATATATATATATATATATATATATATATATATATATATATATATATATATAAGCAAAATTTGTTCATATAACGATAACTCGATAAATGTTATAAAAACAATCAAAACAAAAAAACGATAATACAATATATATAATCTTAAATAGTTAAATGAATCGCTAGACTTTCATAGCATTATTCAACTATTTAGAATATGTTTGCTAATGTTACATTCATTAATCATCGACAACAATCATAATATAAAATGAGATGCCGTCAAATTTATAAATTAGAAATAGTAAAATAATTGTTTAATTACAGTTAACAATAAAAAAAAGTAGAGCGATAGTGCAATATAAACAAGAGGTAGAGTCTAGTGGAATCAGAAAACCAAAAAACAAAAAATGACGTTTATGCTTTGCAGTTGTTGCAAATTTGGAAGTTTGGAATTAGAAAAAAAAAAAAAACGTAAGCTCTTGTTTACCGTAAATTTACATCAGCCCAAATGCAATTTCTAATTTTAAGCCTAATTTTTCAAAACTTGAGTTGTTGTAATTTTTAATTGTAGCATTGACTATTGGAATTGAAAAATACATGCATTTTTGTCTTTTTGATTGTTGGATTGTTTATTGTTAGACTGTAAACTTAATCATATGTAAAATTGAGCCCTTCCATGACATGGGTCATGTGCGGTTGCTCACCTTGCACACCCTTAAAGACACCAATGTATCTAATACACCCCTCACCTCATACAGTTACTCAAACTGTATAACTATTATTGAGTTGATCTTGATTGAAATTTAAATTTGAATTTTAAACTATGGTTTGAATCGATGCCTTTGAATTCTTGAAATAATATCTTGGATTTTTGGAAACTTACTCTTGGAGAAAATATGTAGCCGTTTGTTCTTAAACTATTAATGTTTGATTCTTCTAAAAAGCGCCTTGAATGATCTTCGAGGTATCTTTGAAGGAATTTTTTGTTGATTTTGAAATAAAGGACGAGGAACTATTGTTGAAGAAGTCCTTTGAATGAACCTTAATACTTGCTGTGAGGTATCTTTGAACTTAGAAATGTAAGAACTTAATGTTTGAGTGCTTGTAGAGAAGAGAGAAGTGGAGGGAAAGACACTGATGTTTGAGATCTTATTTGAAAAACTAATCAATAAGGTCTATGAAGAAAAAGAAGTAATCAAAGCTAAGGTTTTTTTTTTTTTTTTTTTTTTTTTTTTTTTTTTTTTTGAAAAAAAAATTAAGATGAAGATTATGTGAGAGAAAAAATGCTTAGAGCATTGAGTATGAACAATTAGTTATAACACAATTGTGGTTCCATCTCACATGTCACATCACCAATGGTGTTATAACACCAAATGAGAAAATGATCACCATGTTAAGAGCATGTTATAACATCAACATTTTTCCATTTTATAATTTCTTTTTTATTTTTTTATAATTTCTTTTTTTATTAAAACAAATATATTTTAAATAAAACATAATATCTAAATAAAATATAATGTTTAAAAAATAAAAATAACATAGCATTTAAATTACTCATAACATCTAAATTTAAAAAAAACATTACAATACAAAAAAAACATATTTTATTTTTCCTAAACAACGCTATTCGTTATCGTTACCGTCGAAGATATAATCCGTCAAGTCCTTTCGAAGTTGTCTGTGTTTATTTGCGTCATGAATGTCAACGACTCTATGCAAATAATCTTCTGTTCCTGGTTGAAATTAAACGTGTCTGGGCTCCGTTGGGATATAGTGTGTACTATTTCGTCCTTTATCTTCTACTACCATGTTATGCATTATGATACATGCATACATGATATATCGTAGAGTTTCTAATTCCAATGGTCGTGCCATATGTTCAACTATGTGCCACTTCACCTTTAACACTCTAAAAGCAAGTTTCACATCCTTACGTGCTCATTCTTGTCTTCTCTTGAACAATTTATCTCTTTCCTGGTATATGAAATAGTAGCATGCGCAGTGATCTGTAAATCTGCCTATTGTTTGATGCTTGGTATATGTTTATCTATTATGTGTATGTCGACATGTTGTGGTTGGTCGAGTTGAGGCGGTCCTGCTAGGCTGAAGGCCCTGCGAGGCAGTCTAATCATGTCGAAGGCTCGGGAGCGGTCCAGATAGGCTGAAGTCCCTGCGAGGCGGTCCAGTTAGGCTGCAGGCTCGGTTATGCGTGTTGTGTTTTGATATGTTGTATGTGGTGGTACTTTGGGGGAACTCCCTAAACTTTGGCTTACGGTTTTTACAGGGGCGGAGCCATAAATTTTGGATAAGGGGGGCTTTATATATATATATATATATATATATATATATATATATATATATAATTGTTACCACAATTCACTTGTTTCCATCTATCTGATGAAGAATGAAAGAATCTAAATTTACCTCTTATAAATTTGAAATATCATTTTTTCAGATTCAACACTAATCGGCTTTTTCATATTACTTTTTTTTAAGGTTATAGATATGTATTATGAACATCTATACTAATATTATCACTAACAAGATGCGGTTGTAGGTCATGAGCATCTTTTTTCTTTTGAAAAAATGATTGCTAATGATTTACCCTATGATTATAAGAATTAAAAATCCAATCCAAATATTATTATTAAATGCAAATTATATTGTTCAACGAAAATATTAATCACAAATTTCAAAAAACTTAAATATGTAATAACTAATAAGAATTGAATATTACCTTCTCTTGAAATTGAAGTGGGTAAAAGAGAATGCCGATAAGTTCAATTGAAGTAGCCTATTTGCTGATGATTTGTAATCGCCCTAGGTATGCAATTGTTTTTGTTACTGTATAGGGAAATTGTAATTGCACAATACATAAATAGGCTATATAATGGGTTGTTGGGCTTATGATGGATTTCTTTTGGGCTTAAACAATTAAATGGGGTTTATTAGTAAGAAAGTAATATATACAATACAACTAATATAAGCAACATAAGAGAACATTAGGGGGGCAGCGCACCTGCTAGTCCCCCTATTGACTCCGCCCCTGGGTTTTTAGTTGTTGTTTCAGGTAATACTGATGATCGCGGAAAGGCGAAAGCGTGACTGTACACATCCTTTGTTTTATGTACTTTTGATTTATGGGAGACTATGATATGGAACAATACTTTGAAAACAATGATTTTGTATAATTTTATAATTTTAACCGAGAAATTAAACATGCACGAACATACATACATAAAGTTCTTCATTCTTTATTAATTTTTACTAGGACATAAGGTATGATCACCTTAGTCGTAGCCTTTTGTCGACACAAAAAGTGCATGGATGAAAACCTTATGACGTAAATCTGTTGTTATGTTGGTGCACATCATATGATACTTTTTTCTTGAAAAAATAGTTCAACATTATGAAAAAATTTCAGAAACATTTGTTGTTTTTTTATAGCTTCATGATCATTTGTAATTAGAACTGGTAAGTTACTACCCGTGCTTCACGCGAGGGGGGGGGGGGGGGGGGGGGGGGGGGGGGACAAAATTGCATAACTACGAAAAGAAAGAAAAGTTGTAAATAAACAAAACTCATGTGGCCAAAGGAGTGTGAAAACAAAAAATTGTAGGGACTAAACATTGAAATATATTGCGGGGTGCGAGGGGAGTAATCTGAAAATTTTCTATTAGGTACAGACTATTCTTGTATATTTTTTAAACATATGGACTGTTTCTATAAAAAAAAAATCTACATAATGACATTTTCTATATATTACGGTGAAAATTTTTGTAATTTATTTTTTACATAGGACCAAACTTACAAACATACAAAAATCTTAAACATAAAGACTATTTTTGTACAAAAAAACCCTCACATGGACCTTTTCTGTGTATTTCAAAATTGTAGGAATTAAATGTGCCAATATCCAAAAGATAATCCAAATTTTTTATTTTATATATGAGGAGCAGATATATATTAGGATCATCATCAACCATCATCTAATTAAAGATCTTCAAATACCTTTGCAACTACAGGCATTATCTCTTTCACCAGGAGCCTTCTTGATCTATTAACATTGAGCAAACACAAGTAAATATGATCCTTAAGTTCTTCCATTTGTTCCATGAAGCGACTCTCATGGACTCCAAACTCCCTCAGTACTTCCTCTAACACATCGGACTTTAGGTTTTCATCAACACATTTACTAGCCATTGTCCTCCCGAATTCGACTTCATTGTGTAATTTTCGTACAAGCGAACCTATTGTATCAAAGTCCTTGATCAATGTGTAAATCCCTTTTGCAGCCACATCTAGTAACAAACCAACCCTCTTAAGCTCGCTCGTTTTGAGACCATTCTTGGTTGCGTTTGCCTTCCTAGTTAAACCCAAAAAACAAGAGATCAACCCTGCAGATACTACGATCCCAATCAATCCATGAAATGCAAGAACAAGCAGTGCAACTGCTAACACTGTATACGAAGCTACAAGAGCGCAACCCATGGCTTTTTTCATACACATGATGAGTGTTCGCTTTCTTTTTAACCTTGCCTGATTTGTGGTTAACCTCTTCAGCAAGAGTTTAAGGTGGTTGTTGATTTTGGGGAACATTTCTAGGCTGAAATCCGATAGAGGGTTCCCCAAAGACGAATACAAGGCGAGTTCTTTGTATATTCTAGTGCGTTGATCACTTTTTGGAACCCTTTCGGCAAGCTTTATGATCCTTGCGGTGCTAAGACGATTAGCATTTTCTTGATGGATAGAGTGCAGAAGTTTTTCACATAACTTCCATGATTCTGAACCAGCATCGAAGAAGTCAAGGAGTAGGCAGTGATCAATATCATAGGTATTGGCTAGGTTAGCCATGGCTTCCTTTTGTGGTTCAGCTAGTATGTCACAGTGATGAATATAATGATCACGAATAGAGGATGAAGATGAATATGATTCATTTTCGAAGCCTATGTAGCTTTCCAGTTTGTCGCAAATCTCCATGTATGATTTCGTCCTAAATGCCTCCAGATACTCTTTGCTAACATCCGTCTCACTGACAAAGCTACTCGCAATTTGTTTCTTGTTTCTACCTGAAAGAGCCAATCATGGCTAACTTTAAGTAATTGTATTTGTAGATCAAAGCCCGTATGTGTTTATGTTAAATATTAAAGAATAGGTGACCAAATCCGCTTATTTAAAGTGCTATAACTTTTGGGAATATTGCTATAGTATTGTAGATTTTAGCCTATACACAAAATTGAAATACATATATAAACCATACACATACATTTTCGAACAAAAGATGCACATAAATCGTCGACGATGATGATGGATATTACATATGGGAACTTACTTGTGAATTTAAAGGGAAATTTGAACTTGGAGACAATCATGTTCTTCAGCATGGAACTGAGCATGCAAACAGATTTCAAGAAAATTAATAAAGCTGGCACTTGAAAGCCATCGTGTGCATTTATAGGCTTGCCAACAACAAACAGGTGGAAAGTTGTTTGTTTCTTTTACACGTTTGCTTCCATCTTACGCTACCTCTCACTAAGATGAAGCATAGGAATAGAATATATAAACATACGTTCACGTACACGTATAAAATACATGTGAATCGATTTTATAGGTATAAGTTTATTTCATGTGGGAAAACTCGGATAGAGTTGTATACATTATTGAGAAAGGGTCCAAAACTTGTAATTTGTTTAAATCAATATTAATTGAATTGCTTTATAGTATACCTATTGGATAGGATAATCATTGTACTTAACAATCCGATAATATTTTTTTGCTAACTATCCAAGATGTTGGTTTACTTTTGGACAAGCTTCATTTTCTTTGCTTAATTAATGCTTATACCGAACCTTAACATCATCATTCATGATTTACGGAAAAAAGTAAGACTTTAACATTACATAACTAAAACATGTCTTTTTGTAAGAGGATTATCCTTAAAAACAGATTTTTTTTTCTAGAAAAAGAAACTCTCCAAGGGACAATAACCTGCATATGTATCCAAGAAAATAACAAGTTAAGCCACGTGCCCCTCTTCTTGGTATGGTACTGAGACTTTTTTGGGAAGATGCTAAAAATTAGTGTTTGTAATCAAACGGACATGTTTCCTCCGATAATTATCCCTAATATTCACAATTAGATATGTAATGATGATTCATAATGTTGAATATGAACGTTTGTCATGTTAATACATCATATATGTATAATGAATAGCAATAACAAATCATTAGACATTTTTAATTAATTTAGCATGATAGTCATGCTGTGAATCTTTGAATATCAAAACTTGTCTTGATAGTTAATTCATATGTGAATAATCAATAAAAACAATTGAAAAAAAAATTGTGCATTGGTCGTTTAATATATATATATATATATATATATATATATATATATATATATATATATATATATATATATATATTAATGATAAATACATTCTTGTAGTTGGACAACTACTAAGAACTCCGTTTTGCCCACATAAAATGATGATGTTAAGGTTTGTTATGTCTGAAATCTCTCTCTATCTCTCTAGCTCCTCCTAGTGGTGAGGTAACGTGGGATAGAAGCAAACGTGTGATTAAGCTAACAACTCAGGAACTGGTTTCTTGTTTTGTTAGTCTATAAATACAAACGATGGCTTTCGAGTGCAAGCTTTAAATTCTTTTTATTCTAAAAAAATGTTCCCAGGATATCCAAGAACATGAAGTTTTCCGGGATCAAGTTTTCTTTCATGAGATTCAGAGGTATGTTTCCATGTCTTCATCATCATCAATCTTTAATTTTTCTTTTGTGACCTTTAATTCTTTTCAGGGTTCTCAGAAAACTTAAAAAATACACAATTCATGGTTCTATTCGCCATATATATGATCCAAAACTCTCATTTATTTAAAGTAGACATGTTTCATTTTTCTTTCAGGTAAACTCATGAATAAGAAATCCCCAGGGAGTTTTGGCAAAGAGATATTGGATATTAACGAGGAATACATGAAGGCATTTAGAACACAATCATACCTAGATATCTGCGATAAAGTTCAAAACCACATAACATTCGATAATGGATCATCTTCATCATCCATTCACACTCATTACATCCATCTTTGTGACATCTTTCTTGAACCACAAACTGAAGCCATAGCCAACCTTGCCAAAACCTTCAATCTCCATCATCTACTCCTTGATTTCTTTGAATCTGGATTACAAGCATGGATCATATGTGAAGAACTTCTTGAATCCATCCATCAAGTCAACACCAACCATCATAAAGTCAAAAGGCTCATCAAGCTAGCTCAAAGGGTCCCAAGTAGCACAAAAGTATACGAAGAACTTGCTTCATATTCATCCATGGTGAACCCTCTATCCGATTTCACACCAGAAAAGTTTCCCAAAATACACATCAACCATAAACTCTTATTAAACAAGTTAACAACAAACCACACAAGGATTACAAGAAAGAGAAAGGTTCTCATATGTTTGAAAAAATGTGGAGGTTTTGCTCTCATAGCTTCATATACGGTTTTAGCCATCACACTGATAGTTCTCGCATGCCATGGTTTGGTTGTGACATTAGCATCCCCGGGTTTAATCGCATGTTTCTTAGGCCTATTCAAGACTAAAAAAGGGCTTAAAACAAGTGAGCTCAAAAGGGTTGGATCACAAATGGATGTTGCAGCAAAAGGTATTTACACATTGATTAAAGATCTTGATACAATGTGTTGGCTTGTTGGAAGATTACATGATGAAGTTGAATTTGGGAAGGTGATTGCTCGAAAATGTGTTGGAAGAAAGTTTGATTTGTTGGAGGAAGTGATGAGGGAATTTAGGGTTCATGATAGTTGCTTCTTGGAACAAAAGGAAGAGCTTGAAGATCATATTTACTTATGTTTGCTTAATGTTAATAGATCAAGGCGACTCCTAGTAGATAAAATAATGCCCACATCACAGAATTGAAATGCTACGAATCTTGAAATTGTAAAGAAAAGTGATAAAAAGAAAAAGGTAGCAAATTTGTTACATATAGAAAGCATATTTATTGTAATTCTAATCTTTATTAAAGAAAAATATTGGGTACAATAGTTAAAGATTTGGAAATGTTAAAACTTAAAACTGTCTAAGCTTCTTGTACTCTTCTAAGGTTATGAATGAATCTTTGGCCTTGATCCATTCGGTTGGTTTTGGCATGAGAATAGCAATGTATCCTTCTCGATCTGCCTGCATTTGAGCAAAATTCAGGTGATTAAATTTAAATAAGAATCTTGAAATCAAGTTTTTATCTTTTTATTTTTTTGTATAGTTATAACAAAATAATGTATAGAGTAAACTTACAGATGAATTCAGCAACTCTGGTTGCTTTATTAATCGCTCATTAACTTCCAACAAAGAGCCTTTTATACAACATCTGTCAAATATAATCTCCCACTTTAATATCCCCAAAAAATAATTTCAGGATTCAACACAAAAGATTTAATCTTTAATGCATAAAACAAAGTTACCTCACAATATAGAAACCATTGTTGGTGCATACTTTACATAAGGCTGTATTGGACTCGAAATGTTGTGCATTCTGTAAAGAAGAAACCAAAATAGTAGATTTAAGAAAAATCTTAACTAGAAAAAAGGATTGAGAAAAGGTTGAATGACGGATGTACCCTTTTGCGTTTCCCTGTGACCTTGATCTCACTTCTGTTAGATTTTCCAACATTGAAATCCACAGAAGTGATTCCTCCTTCATCCTTGAAGGCCACATGACCAGAAGCTAATCCAATAACACATAACCTTTATTCAGAAAACAAGAAAGGGAAACTGTCAATGTTATAAAGTATAAACAACTTTCAGTTAGTTGTAGTTTTTGAATCATTAATTCAATTTTTATCATCTATTTTGAAGATTCATACCCATTTGCATGTCGATAAATATATTGATCATGCTCCGGCTTCATAAAATCTAATCAAAACACAAGAATGTAACCAAACACAATGTTAGAAAAAGGGATAAGAGTTAATGTGATCTACATTTGACATTTTATAGTCAAAAACTTCAAATTTGATACACACATTTGAGTATTTGAGCATTCAGATTAAATTAGCTAACTTTTAACTTCAAATTTGATAGTAGTAATTATATGTATCAAAAAGTTTCTCTTGAATTCGAATATGAAAATAAAACTAGATTATACTCTGTAGAATCATAGGTTGTTATTTCTAGGGCGGAAGGAGAACGACCCGTGAATCAAATTAACGGAATTAAAGGCATTGGTTGGTGAAATTACATACCAGGAGCGAAGTAAGTGACGAAATTGAATTCCATTGCAGAAGGAGGAGAGAGGGGGAGATCATTGACGTTTGGCAACAAAAGCTCATGCAGCTCTTTTTCTCCATCGTCTCCTTCACCATCAATGGCTACCAAGTTGTCTTTAACAACTGCCGGGACTTGCGATTCTTGATTGGCAGCAGGGTCGGGATTTAGGGTGGTCATTTGAACTAAATTGGAATCGGAAATTAACGGCTAACCTAGCAACAAGATTCCCTCCGATTTGTTTGACGACACCCAAATCCCAATCGATACCTGGACCTGGTTCTTCACCGTGGATCGAAGTGTGTTGCTTTCTTTCTACAAGGCGTGATGCTTACTAATTACTAAGATTTCTGCATTTGGGCCAAGATACCAAATTTGGGTCGATAACAAAATCCAGCCCAAAGTTGTAACCCAATTTTTACTTTTGTTTTATTTTGTTTTTAAACTTTTTAAGGTTAAGTAATTACTTTTTTCATTATAAAACTTTGTATTCATTTCAATACATTGTTATTGATATTTTAAAAAATGTATGGTTAGGGCATCGATATGGACAATTGCTTTATCTTAATAGATTCTTTTTTTTTGCGCCAACCCATCTTCGTGGATGAACCGAGTCGGTAATCAGGGGCGGAGCTACTATGTAGCCCGGGGTATCCTGGGCTACCCCTCCAATTTTCCCGTCAAATGTAAATTTCGTGTTTTTTTTCGAAAATCCGTCACAAATCTGTTGGAAATCCGTCACAAATCCGTCAGCAATCCATCACAAAGTCTGATAATTTTAAAATTAGTGTAAATTCACCGGTTTAGCGACGATTTTGTAATGGAAACTTCCTTTGGAAACAATTTTTTTTCTAGTAGTTCAACCCCAAAAGAATTTGTGCTACCCCTAAATTTTCTTTCTGGATCTGCCACTGTCGGTAATGATATTAAGTTGCCCATCAATGTCCATGTTCCTGTTCTTATGGCATTGCGGAGAACAAACAATGAGTTGGTTCATGCTCTAGGTGGCAACGACCACGGTTTGTGAACATCATCCCAACGGTTTGTGATCGATCGTGTTTAGGTTGATTGCGTTGTACACCACGAAAGACAACGTCCAATG